GGAAATGGACATAGAACTTGGTGCAGATGGAAGGCACTCTCAAAGGACATTTTCAGAAATGGATGCTATGTGGATATAACATGTTACAAGTACAGAACAACCAGCCAGAATTCAAATATGATCCTGAACAATTAATACAATTCATAGGTGAAATAAACCAAAGAAATTGGGCAGTCCCACCAAAAGTTACAGTTGTCAGGTGATAATGATCTATATCACAAGACTTTTATTTAGGATGTCATATGATAGAAAATCTTAGGGATCACAGAATCCCACAGTATCAGGTACACAGTGTGATGAGAGAGAACTGGAGCTGAGGGAGCTGCAGGACCCAGGTTCACCTGAGAAAACCCAGTGAAGCTGCAGAAGGCAGAGGAGACAGAAGAGAAAAAAGGGCAACTTTGAACAGCATCTGCCTCCACAAACTCCATACAATGCTGAAAGCCCCCAAGACCTCAAGTGCATGTTTCCCTCTCCCCTTGATCATCACAGCAATGATTATCTCACATGGGCAGCTGGGACATCCAGGAGTGCCATGAGATGCAGCTGAAGATACAGACCCAGAAGGACACACCAGACAGACATTTTCCTTCAACCAGGTAGTCACACAACACAGACTCAAGGATGTTTGTGTTCATGTCTATCCTGGTTTCTCAGGTCATGAATGGAAAAGCTTAGTATCTGGAAACCACCACACCAGCATTGTGTCCTTCCTGGCTAGAATGTGTCCTGTAGAATATGTCTCATAGATGAACTTTCTGATGAGGCAAGTGTTGCTTCCAATTTTTGACCCTGAAACCACACCACCAGGGTCAATGGACAAATGTGTTGATACTCAGTCACCTTTTTCAACGTGTATCAGAAGTGCTAATACATGCATAAGATCAATACAGGTCCCTTCCTATGGCATGGAGAGCAGAAGGGAATTTAACAGGTGACCTCCCTGCACTTCAGTAAAGGGAAACTTTCCAAATAAGGGACATGTTCCTACAGGACTTGGATCCTTGCATGATTTAAAATTAAAAATTTGTAAAGACTGCAATCTTTTAGTTATCTTTCTACTATAGGGAGCCCAGTAATGACAATCTGCAGGAATAAGGCACTCCTTCATCCACAGATATCCTTGTTTTCCTTTGCCAACACCAGCAGTTATCTGGGCCAGAGGAGTTATTTTCTGCATAGATGGATGATACATCTTCAGGCCCCCAGTGCAGACTGTAGGAAATCTGGGTTGGAATTTAAAGGCCTTTACAACTTTACACACCAATTTTAAATTCCCACATTGAAGGGACTGCAGTACCATGAAGGAAGGCCTTGAGAATACTGGATGTGAAACAGGAGGGCTCAGAGCCAAAGAAGCATCAGGGACCTGAAAAAGTACCTTTTGATTCTGTCAGCCTTGTGTTCCAGATCAGAGACTCCTGTCCAGGGACAATGAACACAGGGAGAATGTCCGCAAAGACAGGTGTAAGCCCCCTGCAGGTGCCACTTCCTTCACAGGGAGACACTGCCAGTGGACTAAGGGCCTTCACTAAATCCTAAAATGCCAATCCTGGATGATTGTCTGGGGAATATGAGTGCTTAGGTGACAGTGAAAGGATATATCATGATGGAGCTGGACACTGTTAACTCAGCTGGATGTAGGACATGTCAATTATCTCATCTTGGAGTGCTCAACTTGGATGTAAGGAAGCAGTATAGAGTGTCTCTAGTTAATAATTTTGTTTTATATTTTTATATAACATTGTCAGTTATCACCGTATGTTGTCTCCTATTTGTTACTCCTTAGCAATTTGTAGGGTTGAAATTATTTGTTCACACTGATGCTGGATGTTATGCTTACTACAGGATTTAATTCAGTATAATGCATTCAACTACAGAGACCATTCCAAAAGCCTGTTATGTAGCAGTCTCCTTGAGTGACCATGAGGATGCTGATGAGCCTCACTGTGTGAGAGACACAGGGAGTGAGATCTGCGTTCACTAAGATATATCAGCCATGTGGAGACAGAAAACTGAGCTTTAGTGTACTGAGGGGCTGAGATTTATAGTGACACAGGTCATAGCTGTGCAGAGAAAGAACAGGTACTCCCATTGGGATTGTTGAATCCCTGCTCACAGACACATAGACAGAGACACAGACATAGACACAAACAGAGAGAAACAGAAACATAGACACACACACACACACACACACACACACACACACGCACATAGTGCCCTTGGACCCTGCCTACTTTGATGTAGCTACATCATCTCTTACTCTGCATGTTTACCAACATGAGCTAGCTCCTGTGTTCTATCTCACATTTGCCCCATGGGCTGATCTTCAGAAAGTATGAAATAAAATACACCTTGAGTAAATTTCCAATTCTAATATCTGGATTTTTCAGGCACTTTATCACAGTGATAGAAAGTTCATTAACATGAATGCAGAATGATAAAAATTCAGTTACCATCTCTTCTTGTAAGTACAAAAACACTCAGGAGTCCAAAATTCATGAATAACAGTTTATTTAATATTACGACCAATAAAGTACCTGTGCCCTGTGAAGGTTGTCACAGACATCTGCAGGAATTTCATATGGAACCTGCTAGTGTCAGGTTTCCAGTTTTTCTAAGGAGTGAATTAGGGCCTTAAGTACATCAGAAGCTTGATGCTTAGAAACAGAATTTTATACAGTAGATGTCAGATAAATGCATTGCAATAAATCTAGTTAAGATACATGATTGGTAATTAAAAACTCCATCAGCACACTTATGAAAAGTCTATTATTCAAGAGGCATTGTTATTAGGTGGATAGCAAGGCTTTTAGCAATAGCCAAACAGTAATCATTATGGAGAAAATTATTGAAAGTGTTAATTTGGTACAAACTGAGCTCAGGGATTCACAATGACAAGGTATGTAGCTGTGGACAAAACCAGAAACTTAGGAGAGATATTTTTCTCCTTTTACTAAAAAGTAAACAAGAAAAGAAAATAATTTTTTGCTGTTCAATAAGTGGAATCCATGGAAAAGAAGAGAATTGGTTGTCTATCTTACCTAGCCATAAAAGGGTGTGCACACCGTAGTCCTGCACTATAGTAAATAAGGGCAGGTAACAATCATAAAAATAAGGACTTAAAGACAGCAAGATTGAAATGAAAAATAAAAAAAAACTTAGTTTGGAAGAAGGAAGAGAAATGACAGTCAGGCAGCTACCTGTGAGAAGGTAGTGGCTGCATAATTGATGGCCTTTGTTTCTGGCAGCATTGATTAAAGAGACAAAAAAAAAAAAAAAAACCTGGAACTTGTGCCAGGCTCTATGATCCCAACTCAGGTACCATTTCCTACATGCAAATTCCTACTTCAGCTTCATTAGGTTTTCTTTTATACTTTCTATATTTTAGATCTTAAATATATAGATTGGCTAAAAGCAATCTTGCATATAAAGTGAAGTCAAGAATTAGGCAACAGGTTAATACAAAAATGCAATGATTCTAGAGTAAAATATATACATACTTGCCAAAAATGTTTCCACTTACAGTCCATTGTATTTAGGGGTTATACACTGAGAACAATTAGAATCAGGACATGGAGTTTATAATATTTTTATAATGGTCACAGGGAGTTAACACAGGAAAATGCAAGAAACCTATCCACAACACCAAAGACATAGAATATTTATTCAAGGGCCTAAATCTCACAGTAATGTCCTACACAAGTCCAGATATAAACCCAGAACTCAGGACAATGCCTCTGATGAGTCCAACTGGAGGTCCAGCGCCCACAAGAAAGACTCACCCCAGTCTCTTTTATGGATCTATGCCAAGAAAACCCAAGGGTCAGCGGTGGAAGCCAGGATGTCCATGCCAGTAGAATGAAGGAGATGTGCTGGTGGGATGAGGGTTCTGCACTGGAGCCAAGAAGTCACACTCACAAAAAAGCCCAGGTCTGCCTTGAAAGGCACAAAAGCCATCCTCAGTGCCACGGAGGCCCTGAGCTCCTCCAAAGAAGCACAGTCGGGTACGTGCTAGGAAGGTGCATGAAGATTTAATCCTGGAGTCCAAGCATCACATGTCTTCCCCTCTGGAGCCAGGAAGCAATGCTGGGTGTGAGGACCAAAGCTTCTGCAGGAGAACCAACAGTTCAAACAGCAACTCGTAGGAGAACCCACTATACCTCAATGCAATAACGCCCTAATACTTCAGCACCGCTTCTCCTCCACTTATTTATCCTGCAACTTTCCTCAGGTGGAGCATCTTCAATCAATGTCATGCTGATGTAATCCATCTGGTGTTAAGTTGACCACCAGTTCTTAATCCATAACACAATCTAAAGTGTTTTTTTTTTATCCCACACTCAATACTAGGAAGTGATTTAGTGGATCAAGTGCAGTACTCTTTTTCAGCAGTAATAGTGAAGCTTATGCTTGGCAAGGATTATCTTAAAAACTTAGTTATGATTTATGACACTGAATAGAGTGTAAAGCTTTTCTGAAGCAGTTGGACTGTTTGATTTTCCTTATCTTTACTTTTTCTCAGAAATCTCTTACTGTTAATGTGTAGTTTCTTCATTCATGCTGTAATGGACTTCTCTTGGTAGATGGCCTAAAAATTAGTTCAATGCAAATGAGCAGACTGAGAGAGACCCTGTGAACTTCTGGGCAATAAAGCTTATGGCCTTATTCCTGACAGCAGCCCCTACCTGTGCCAAGTTGTCCCAGCCTGAGCTTGACAAATAAACTTTTCTGTCCTCAAGGGATTGGTTCTTCCACAGGACATTCATCTGGTTATATTTGGGACCCAGCTTCAAGAGAGGGCACTAAACCTTTAAGGAAACCAAGGACAGCACTGAAAAGCCAAGAGTAAACTATGAATCCTGGCAGGTGAGGGTGACATCATAGAAGAGAGATGGGCCCAGGAGCCAATTATTGATAAAGGTGGGTGAAGGTAGGAGGGCCAATCAGGTGGGCCAGGGGAGGAGGGTCTTCCCATCCCTCTTGTAGAAGTGCTCACTCAGAGTTCAGTGCTGAGTGCCTGGAGCTGAGCTCATGTCAAATTTCTGTGACTTCTTCTTACTGAAGACTGGAAAGGATCCTTGGAAATCCTCAAGCATAACAATGGTAACTTGATGGTATTGCAGCTGGGAATGGGATGGAATTTTGGCCAGTCTGGATGGTATTGGGCAGAACCCCTGTATACCCAGAGTGTCTTTTGCACAGCCTCAGGCACAGCTGTGTTTAAGGAGTGCAGTTCTTTGGAGACAAACATGTATTCTGGCCTCAAAATGAGAAAACACTATCATTTGAATTCCTTATGTGAGACTTCTACTCGAAGTGATGTTATGGCATGAACAGAACTCATAAACTCATGGCACTGTGTGTTATGAGTTATGGAACCAAAATAAAAATGAGAAAGCTGCTTGTCTTTGGGAATGTTTCGTACATGGATAGCCATGAGGGTACACCTGGCTCTATGGATTTAAAATAGATCTACATCTTTGTTTCCTTTCTTTTTTCTTTTACGTTTTATTATTATTGTTGGGATACAGAGTGTATCTCTGTAGTCTGGCCAGCACAGGAGATCCAGGATATCCTCTTCCATCTGTCTCCAGTGTGAGGATATTACAGTCCAGAGTCACTGCACCCAGAAAAAGAAATACTTTGAGCTGAGGTTGTCCAACCGTTTTCTTCAGCCTGTGGGGTCTATAGGAAACAGGTTTTAGAGATAAACTAGATGTTTGTGTTTACATTTCTGTTACCTCAAGAGTTTAGTAATTAGCACCTGCAATTCACTCTAGTAGACTAGAATCTGCAATTTATTGTGAAGTTCAAAGTCCTAGTTCATGGTCTGTTCTGATTTTAATTCTTATCCCAGCCACTACTTTTGCAACTTTACCTCAGGCCATTTCCTTAGTGAGTGCCTTATTTATAAGCTAAGTAGATAAATACTTTTTTACAATTGAATTACTGAAGCGAGGGTTTTCTTAAAGTTTAGAATGTTGTGAGGTATTTGGGGATGGTGATGAATTAGTTTCTGAGTGGAAATTTCTTGCTGAGAACAACTTCCTGTAGGTGCTGCCTGCTAATCCCACACTGAGAAAAACAGCAAACTGGTGTCTACAGGGATGTAGAGATCTGATAACATGAGAGTGGAAATGGAAGTAGGTTTCATAACTGCAAAAATTTGTTACATTTGGGTTGTGCTTTAGTTTGACCTGAAATTTGAAGCAGTGAGTGGGGTGTGGTGGCACATGGCTTTAATCCTAGCACTCAGAAGGCTGATACAGGAGGATCCTTGCAAGTTTAAGACAAGCCTGGGGGATGAAGTGAGTTCCAGGACATGACATCCTGAATTACATCATGAGTCCTTGTCTCAAAAAGAAATTTGAACGATGAGATGGACTGTTGTACTGAAGTAGAGGTATCTTCACATGGTCAGGATATTCATGAGTACTAAAGAATTAAGGACAAAGGTTTTAATAACATGTGCCGACATGATGGAAAGGAAATGAGAGAGCAGGGGCATGAGGAGGGAGGCCCAATCAGCAGGCAGCATAGTAAAGGACTTCTGAGGTGAGCTTGACCTACTGTGACAGCACTGGAGGATTGTCTGCGTGGTAGGTCTGAGAGTAGGAAAAAGCTCACAGGCCTATAGAAAGGAGGGAAACTTAGTCATGGATAAAAACTTTTTCTATGTTTACTGCTCAGCTCTCCTAAGCATGTATGAGGTAAGATAGGTACTTAGAACCCTAGTATTGAAGGTTTTGATATATGTTGGTCATCACAACTAAAATAACATGGGAAGGAGATTCTTTTGGACACCAAAAATTTTAAGATACATTTATTGTTTCTTCTTGTCCAATGACTGACCTTAGAAATCTGGCCCTTATTGACATCCTGTAAATTTTGAAAAAAGATTTAATTAATAAAAGTTTTTTGGCATTTAGAGATGAGGTCTTACTACTTTGCACATGGTCACAAGAAGAGGTGTGTCTTTGCCAGCACTTTGGCCTCTGAGTTTGATATATAGGAATGAAATTGTCTGCCCTTATATGTCCAGCAGAAATTCATGTTCTTTTAAATTTAAGAATGAATTTTAGGTACAATCAAGGTTAAGAGAAGAAGTATTTATTGAGTGAAAGAATGCTTCTGTGAGAGAGACAGAAGGGGTCCCATGTGAGTTGCCAAAGACTCTGCATTTTCTAGGAATTTTTATAATGTAAAACAATGAGATGAGGGAAGTCTAAAGGCAGATCAATAACTCACAAGACAGGCAGGCATGAGGTGGGAAAGAGCTATGGTCAAACAATCAGTTTCCCTCCTCATGTAAAATTGACTATATCAGAGACAAACGGGGAATTGAATCACATAGCAAGCTAGCATTATTTATGGATCAGTCACTTTTTCTGTAGGTGGTTAGAATGGCACCTCCTGTCTTCTCAAGGTGATCCATCCCTAACCCCTAAGAATTATACTTAAGGGTGTGATTGTATTTCATTGTCATCTATCTTGAGATCTGGTGCACAGCATGTGGTGTGTGTGTCTCTTTCATAGTCACTAGATATCTCATCCTCTGTGGGGGCCCTTCCAGAGGCTAGCCATTTCTGATGGATGTAATATTTCTAACTAGCTCAACTGCCCGTGAGGGGATGACAGAAATATTCTGCTTTGATGGTGATGGTTATGCCTCTGCTTTGCTGGAGGGAATTGGGTCTCCTTCTTTAGTTCACATGGTCCTTACTGCTCAGAGCCTCATACATCATCCATTGTAATGCTAAGGACTCAGGTATGCACTGCCATGCCTGGATCAGTGTTTTTTTTTTTTTTTTTTTTCATGTCACCCAATTTCACCAAGAATTCACTGTGTTGGGGTAAAATAAACAACACTGAGTCATGGTGATGCACAAATTTAATTCCAGCCTCCTCAGAAAGTTAGGAGTGCTTAAAAATCGAGGCCACCCTGGATTACTGAACTTTTTCAATATGAGATGCATATTGAAAGTTTATGCCCATCTCAAATTATCTTTTCTAAAGTCCATGGGGCCCTTGGATAATGCAGAGAAAATGTTTGAGTGTAAACTTATATTGAATATTTAAGTTGACACATAGTTTATGCTAGCGATACATGGCTCAATGTGAAGTTTATATGCTCATGTTGGAAGATACAGAGATGAGTCTCTGGTCTCTGAAAAAGGACACCATGGGTGAACAAACAGTGATTCACAGTGTGCTGCATTCAGTGAGCTACATGTCATTTAGTGTTGTATTATGAATTTCTCTTTCTGTTACATCTGAAATACATATCAAAGTATTTGTATTCAGGAGGTTGAAAAAAATCTAATGCTTAATGATAGTGTTTGCAATAACAGATTTGTTTTTTGTGCATATTCAATTCATTTTGTTGTCCCTTAGTTTTAGTTTGATCAAGTCATTTTAATTATGAAACTCAAATATCTCTTTTGCGTTATTCCTTCCAGTCTTCAAATTGTCTCCTGTAGAACAGGAGCCTCACTTACCCAGATAATTTTGTGAATCTTTTCTTTCTGAAGAAGGGATTCCAGTGGTTATAGGGCTTTACTGAAAAAATGTTTCTTTATCTCCTGCAAAGATTTAAGAGAATCAGAAATAATTACTATGTATGAAGAATATCTGTGAAGGGTGGTGTGTGTCATGATAGTATGAATGTCCCAGTCCATTTTAATGTTCTGAACTTCTTTGTGAATTACTGATTTATAGCATATGGCAAATGACTCCATTTTCTGTGCTTGACAACAACCAATATGACCTGGTTTGAATAATAAGGGAAAACAAGTCTCTTACTTTTTTGTGCATGGGCATAGGTATTTCATTGCCTTATGATATTGGTTTCAGGTTGCTCATTCTCTCAGAATCAATCTTCAGCCTTCCAGTGGAGATTCTTCAGGAGTGAGAGAGAGCCTGAGAGCCACGTTCATGCACCAGATGTAATCTTGTGGGTCATGTTTCCTTGCAACATGAAGCCACACGCTTACATGTCTTTCCTAGTAACCTCAATGCCTTTAAACACTCAGAATGTGACAGTAGAATTCTAGGCATCAGGCATGCAAGTTGAGTATTTACTTTGAAAAAATTAGTAAGTCACAAGAGATTAGCATTCATCTCTTGGCATGGAAAGGTCTATTACAGAAAATTTACATGCTGAATGCTTATCTTCTTACAGGGCCTGAAGTGAGGGTGGGCACTGCACACAGCCTTCTTTCTGCTCTCCAGCTAGGTTTAGCTTTCATACGTCTTGAATACATTGTAGTGACACTGTTGGATATTTTAACCAAGTCATAGGAAATGCCAGGGACATCTAACTATGATAAATACAATGAGAGTTTAATATGAGGCCTCAAGCAGACAAATAGTATCCTCCACATTGAGTTTCATTGTAATGATGTTGAATTCCAGAATCAATGAACACACCCTCAGAATTCTAAGTCCTTCTAGGATGTTTAAAAAATCACGTGAGAATTTTTTTTAAAGTTTAACCTCAATAAATTTTAAAATACATATTACTATGGCTATGATGAAAATAATTACTAGGAGCCTTCCAGGCATGTGTAAACTACAGTCTTACATCTAGAATCATACAATAAATGAATAAACTGTTGAATACATTAGGTTCTATACCTTATAGTGAGAAAAGTTCGATGTTATGATAGGGATTTAAATAATAGAAGGTGAAATAATACAATAAAGGACAACTTGCAAAGGGGCTGCTTCTTAAAAACACAAATTAATCTCTGAAGTAGGGCATTCATATGTACATGCAATTTGTTTAAAACTGGGAATCAAACTCACAATGCCACATTGCCAGGTAAGCAATGTGCTGCTCAGCTATATCCCTGATCTTGTACAAGAATTTTTTCTCTGTATGCAGAGAAAGAAGCACCATTTGCTCCTGTAATTATTATACTTCATTGATAGTGACTGTATATTGTTGAAAAGGACACGCTAAATGATGCACCTTGTGCTCTTTATATGTTTCATATGTGGTATTCATATTTTTAAAATTATGTCAGTATGAATTGCATGTGGTATAATGCTTGTAATTTCAATCAATTGTTTTTTTTTTCTTTTTTATTTATGGAGAAAAA